TTTTAAAAGTTACTCCAAAATTCGCTTGAAGATGAAATAGAACTAATGCTTTTAATTTATTTGCAAAAATAAAATTAGGGGTTTTTAGCTTCTATTTTTGAAACATGGTTGGAACTGTGTAGCGAAAATAACCATATTTTAAATCAATTAATTTATAATATATATATATATATATATGTTTTCAATTTGATATATATAAATGGGGAGAAGAGTGCTTAATATCGGAGACAGAGTGTTTATAGTGGAAATAATAATCGAAACAACATGGTGATTGTCAATTTCACCATCTGTAATCTTCAGACCAAGTGCAACTATTGGGAATGTTTCTTCCGGCCGTTGCTTCCTTTAACCCTCAGTAACCTATATACACTAAGGACAAAAGAGTAATTATACTTGGTCTAAAGAGCTCTTTCAGGCGTAATAGTGAGTCACCATACAATGTTGATGCCTATGTCCACTACCACCATCTATCTATGTCTCTCTCTCTTTCTCTATATAGTATGTAACAGCAAAATTGTCCAAATCGTAAAAGCATGAGATAATTGTCCATCCCACATTTTTTTTAATATCTACAAAACCACTAAACTAATTGGATTTCTTTTTTTCCAGGTTTTCAGATGACTTTTACCACATTGGCACCACTATTCGTACGAATCGCAGAAAAAAAAAAACTCAGCTAAAAAGAGAACAGGTTAAAATAGTTTTGTGTCAGCCCCAAATGAACAATGGCGAGAGGAAAAAGATCATTCAGGCTTTCAGTAATGGTACCAACATTCATACTCTGGTTTCCATCTTCAAAGTCACTGACTAAGAGAAAAGTGAATAATTTTAAAAAAGAGGAAACAGTAGAAAGGAAAACTGGATTAGGAGGTCATAACAACAAGAGGGACCATCATTTCAAATTAGTGCTAAATACATTCGTATTGTTCAAAGTAGAGTCCAATAGTTTAAAAAATCCTCGGAGAATTCTAGTAAGATATCTTTAATCATTTCTAAGATATGACACTTCAAATCTTAATCTAACAATTGAACAATTTTACTGTTACACTCGATATATATATATATATATATATATATATATATATATATATATATATATATATATATATATATATTTTAGTGGTATAAAATTTTATAACTGCCATGAACAGACAAAAATTAGTTTTATTATTACCACTCATGATAATAAAAAGTAAAAATGAAAAAATTTCATTTTTTTACTTTTTATTATCCTGAGTGGTAAATAAAACTAAATTTTGTCTGTTCATATCTATATATATATATATATATATATATATATATATATATATATATATATATATATATATATATATATATATATATATGTAACACAAAATTGTCTAATTGTGTGATTATATATCTAAATGTGCCTGCGTGTATTATAATTTGATTGTGTATGTATTGTTTTTTGCAAGATTTCATCCTTCCTTGTCTTCACTTCAAATGTATCTAAGTTGTAACTGAGTTCAGAGCAGCATTAGATCTTGGTAATTTTCAATTTTTAATTTTATAGTATAATTTATATATTTATTAGCTAGAATGAATTCTATTTTAGTCTAACCCTAACATTAAAGCATTAAATAATTATTATAACCAAAGTTCGTGTTCAAGTTTTTTGAATTCTCAGATAGTTGTATTTTGATTTGGTCATTGCAGCTCATCTAACAGCGTTTCCCTCTAGCAAGGGGTGTTTGATTGATTTGAACCTTTTAAAACTTTTTATTCTACATTCAACACCATCACTTGATAAGACACCAGAAGTGTTGAAACAAAATGGCTATTTTTGTAGTGATTTTATGTTATTTTATTTATGTTATAATTTTCGAATAAATAATTATATATATATATATATATATATATATATATATATATATATTATATTATATACACTACACTGGTAGAAAGTTGCTGAATTTTGATCTGAATTTTTCAGCTAAATATTCTATGTAATTAATTGTCACTTTTGAATTGAACTCAATGGAATGGAAAAGGGTTGTGATTTTGAATGCCTCCTGTATTATACAAAGTGTGTTACATGGGGAAATCAAATGTAAGCATGCCCTGCCTTCATGGAAATGATTGTTGTCAATGTTTCTAACCTAATCCTTTGGGCGACATCTTTTAATCTGTATTCGCCCACAAATACATACAAACATAATGATTGAAATCATATTAAAGAACCTTTTTCGCTTTTCGTCAGCCTGACTGGTGGTAATCTCCTGGAGGGAAAATCATCAGGATTTCTTCGTTTCAAGCATTACATAAATTACAACTCTCACTCATCTTTGGTGCTTGTGAAGGGAACATTGAACAGTGCAATATACGTCCATAATATACTTCAAAACATTCATCTGCCAGAAAGATAAAACCCACCCATATGATGTCTATATTATTCAACATACATTGCTATACGTGTTTTAACAACAAAATTGTCCAAATCGTGTAACAACATAATTGTCCATCACACAAAATGTTTAATATCTAAAAAAGACACTAAACTAATGGAGTTTCTTTTTACAAGCTTTTTAGAAAACATATTTAGCCATTTTGACACCATTTCTCGTAAGAATCAGTGAAAAACCATTTATTCAGCTAGAAGGAGCGTTCGGTAGGCAAGGTCGAATTTACTGCTTATAAACTTCAATCTACCGAACGCTCCTTTGTGGCCGAGTCGGTTAAGGCACGTCAGCGTAAATGACGGTTCCGTATAGGATGCAGGTTCGAATCCTGTCAAAGGACGAATATTTTCTATGAAAATTTCTCGGACATTCAGGCCGGTAAATGTTATTTAATACTGTTTATTATAAACAGAGCATTTACTTAAATACTTGTATCTATAAAAAAAGAACGTTAAACATAAAAATGTCTTTAATAAATAAAATATATTGTTGTTCATTTTGCTATAAAATGCTGGTAATTTTACTATAAATGTGTATTGTTGGTAATTTCTTTATATAGAAATATATTGCTGATATTTTTACTATGTAAATGTATTTTTTATACTTTCATAGTGCCTTTTTTTTTTTTTTTTTTTTTTTTTGGCGGGTAACTTCGCTATTTGCCCATAACGGAGACCCTAATAAATGCTACAATCACGGGTTGAGGTAGACCTGAGAATAATTCAGAGGTGGTCCCACGCTCCTCAAAACCTCCAATCTTCCGATCAGGGTCCATGCTGCCGGATATAGTTTATTTCATACCCAGAACTGGTCAGGACGATTGATCTACTGTAATGGATGAATACGTCCGGTGAGAAGATACTTCCTTGTCTTACGACATTTGCGTATTTCTTGAATTCATTTTCTATCCGCATGTAGGAGGTTTGAACCCAGTATAAGTTCTGGATTATTCTAATAGCTTCTCCAAATAAATCAAGCTTAACAATTCTAATAGTTCTTTGTGACATATCAAACCCTTTTGACTAATCTATAATATATAAGTATACACCCTTTTGCATTTTTATTGCTCTTTCTGATATCATTCTTCGAATAAATAATGCTTTCCTTGTTCCAGACTTTTTTAACGGAGCCGCATTTTTCCTGCTTTTGCCATCTCTATCAAAAGCATGTCACAATACAAATTTAATTTTCAAAACCGAAATATCGAGTGTTCATGTGAGGCTTACGTACTATTGATACACCCATTATTTTAAAACTTGTGCTTGTATTGATATGTATACAGTGGCGAGAAAAACAAATGAACCCCATAGGTAAAAGAAATCAATTTGTTTAATTTTTACTCAGAAGCTGTAAATACTCAGCGATGTACATTGAGGGCCAGTATCTGGTTATTTTGCAGTGTAATAAAAATAGTAGAAAATATCCTCTGAAAACTGAGTCCAGTTCCAAGAAGAGAGTAAAATTATCGAAATGTCCCGATGAATGGGTCGATGTGGAGTCGCTTGGGATATACAAGCATGCTGTTCACATTAACCAGGAGAAGCACACTGATGTTGGGAGCGTTCTGGCTATGAAAATAAAACTGGTAGACGTTCGAAATTATTAAACGAGATGAAAGAAAGCTATCGAGTTTCCGATTCCAAATTAACAACTCGTCAAATAATGGATGAAAGCAGAATTACTACAGAAGTTCCCATTCAGACAGTATGACGAATACTACATAAAAATAATCTTAATTCATCGTGGGAGAGAAAAAAAACCATCATTAACCAAAAACATCAAATCAGGCGAAAATACTGTTATAAGAAAATGACGTGAGCAAAAGAGATCTGAATTCTAATACAAAAGAGTATGTCCGAGGAGCAATATTTTTAAGAAAGAATCCAAAATATGCAACAATGACAATAATGTTCGACGGTGTAAGTTTAATGGTTTGTGACTACGTGAAAAGCAATGGGACAATAAAGTTGATAAATTCAATGGAATACAGAACGGCGAAAAATTTGTTATTTTGCTAAATTCCCATCTATTATCAGATATAGCAGAAGGTGAAATACTCAAACATGATGGCTCAACTTGTCATACATTGCGTGTAAGAAAGTGTTTTTATTCACTAACGAAGGCATTGTTGTGCTACAAGAGTGACCTGTCCAAAGCCCTGACCATAACATAATGGAGACAATTGAAAACTAGGATGTATAACAAAAAGCCAAATAATATACAGGAACTTTGGATTTGCAGTCAAGAGGAATCGCAGAAAATTTCTAATCAAACAATTCTTCAGTTTTTATTTCTCTATTCTATTTCAAGTTGATTTTTTTTATGTGTTATTTTAGTGTCGAAATCTAAATATTTTGTACACAATTTTAATTTAATTGGGTGGGGGGGTAATAACGATTTTGTGCTCCAGGTCTTACTCATTCGTCCATAGCTGGAGAAGATGAGGTGTATTTCTCCCCTTCCCAAGGGTATTTGCGTGTAAGTGAATATAATGAACCCGACTGGAATTGAAACTCGGCCCTTCGATTAAAAATTCCGAGTCATTATCTATTACACCAACCGCATAACTTACAAACTTACATCTGGTACTCCAAACGGTCACCCATCTAGGTACTGGCCAAACTCGGTGCTGCTTAACTTCAGAGATCATACGGGAACCGGTGTTTTATGTGGTGTGACCGAAAGCCATGTGTAGCTGAGTTTGTAGTTTTTGCCAATGTGTACTATAGTGATTTCAGTAAAATATGTAAATAAATTTATTTTGCAGACGATAATTCTGTTTCCGATGATGGCTCACAATATTTGTATGCCATATTTTCAGGATGCATTCAAGTGTGTACTACAGATCAAAACTTTGAAGACACCACCAGATTTAGCACGGTATTAAAAATAAAATGAAAAAGAGCTTTTAGAGTAAATGAAAAAAAAAATGGAATTAAATATCCATCTTTACTTTGAGAAGCTTTTGTAAAAAAAAAAAAAAATTTCAAAAATTTGTGCTGCAGTAAACAAAATTAGAGGAGGATATTTTGACGAAAGCAAAATTTAATCATAAAATGATTTTTCTTTTTTGTCATATTATAATTGCTAATAAAAGATCATGTTACACTTTTTTTTTAACCAATTAGAATAATTATCTCTTATTTAAAGTACAAAACAATTACTTTTGGGTTCAAATTTAAAAAATTACCAGAGGTGATCTCAAACATTTGAACTGTAGTGTAGATCTTTCCTCGTGTTGGGTTCATGTAAATGCAACTATTGGGATTATTTTGAATAGTATTACTAAATTATCACAGATATTTTTGAATATTTAAACATTCTTGTTAAAAAATTAAGCAAATTGATTTTTTTTAGGAGTATGATTTCTTTTACTCTCCCCTGTATAACATCATTTACTTAAATCCAGCTTTATTTACCTGTACATTTAATTTTGAGTAAATTGAAACGCAACATAAAAAATGTTATTTTCCGTCAGTACATATTATATATATATATATATATATATATATATATATATATATATATATATATATTGCTCGAGGCGTATAGAAACAGCTAGATAGTTTCGTGGTGTATCGACCAGACAGACTGGCGGTCTGTGGCAATCGTAATAAATTACGATAATGAAGATGCAATATGGCCGCAAGTAAAAAAGAAATCTTTAAATGTTTTGAAGGAAACGAGAGAAAAAAAAATCCTGGTTGATGGCGCTTCAGAGTTGGCTCGGAAAGTTACAGCAGCGGCTGACGGGGGGGGATGGGGTTAAGTACTGAGATAAATAAAACGACTTTTTTCAAGAATTTCTCCCCACCTCACACGCTCATGTAAATAAATAGATAATTAAGGCAATAGTGAATTCATCTCAGCTGATTTGAAACGAAAACGGCAAGCCATGATGATGCTTGTGGCGGTAAAGTTATGCTTAGTGAAATCTCGAAATGATTCAAAAAGCTTTAGGGAATGACTACCCTAGACCAGAGACTCTTTTTTTCTTTTTTGCAATTAGCGGGGGCGTTACCGAGTAATTAAATGATAAAGAAGACTTGAAATATTAATGTTTTTTTAATCATTTCACGCCAAGCAAGAAAATAAAGCCACTAAGACGGAATGGCTTGCCGAGTGTTGGAGAAAATGAGAAGAATAAAAACACTTAACGATAAAGAACAAAAAAAAACAAACAAACAAGAATTATGATAACAGCTGATAACGATTGATATTTCATTAATGTAAATATTTTTTTTCTTTTTGTGATCTCCCTATATAAAAATTACGTAAAACCGGCAAGAATGTTAGAAACGACGGATTAAAATAAACATTTAAATATTCAAGAAAATGAAATAAGAACTGCGATAGAAAAGTTCGAATTGCCTTAACGCAGTATAAAAACATTTACAAAATTATACCCTTAACAGCATCAGCTTAAAATAGACATGTCCAACCAAAATTTTTAATTCATAACAGAAAATTTCGTTCGTTCGAAAACTGGTTTCACCGAAAGCGTTAGATCAAATGTCCACGTCATCGAAAAATCAAAACGTTGAAAATTAATGGAAGATAACTTTTATGTTTGAATAGCGTTTCTTTTTAAAGTAACATTTAAAAAAAACAACAACAAAGGTTAATTTTGATTACTGTTTATTTATGTACGACAATAAATAACTTTACCCTTTTTAACAGGATTAGTTTATATTTAAAATCATTTAAAGCCAGGAAATTAATTTTCTATTTGTCGGAACCGGCAGAGAAAAGAGATATATATATATATATATATATATATATATATGAAAAAAGAAAATATCAATAAAATGATTAAAATATAAATATTAAAATAAATAAATATGAATTAATACAGAAGCCGGTTTTTAAATACTTTATTTCTTTACGCATGTATTTTTTTTGAAAGAACAAATATTTACATGAGTCTGTTTTTCGTCATTTTAAAGTTTGCATTTCTACGACGCAAGGGGCTACTGAAAGTGAAAGAGAATGAAATGTTTTTAGAACAGGCATAAACCTCTACTCCTGATCAAAAGACCGGGGAGGGGGTGCGAGCCGGGCCATAGGTGAACCTATCGACTCTTATTGAAGAGAAAATAAATAAGGAGTAAATAAAATTTCAGAGTTAATACGGAGACATTAGAAGTATGATGTTAAAGTAGACTTTAGAAGGAACCGGAAACCCAATCCTAAACAGGAAAGTGATAGATCTCTACTCCTATTCAAAAGATCGGGGAGGGGTGTTAAGTGGGCCACTGGGCTATTGAGGAGAAAATAAATAAATTGTAAATAAAATTTCAGAATTCTAACGGAGACTTTAGAAGTATAGGTTTGTATTAGAAGGAACCTGAAACCTAATCTCAAACAGGAAATAAGGGATACACCTCTACTCCTGCTCAAAAAACTGGAGAGGAGTGTGAAGCAGACGATATCTTTTCTGTACTCAGATTGAAGGAAAAAATAAATATAAGTAAATAGTATAATTTTATATTATACATAATAAAAAAACTCACAGCTGAAATAAAAAAACATACCATCCTTTAATTCTGTAAGTTTTGATTTTTCGGTGAAATGAACCATTCCACGAAATGACTATTCAATTTAACTCTTCCGATGAGGCCATTTTTCTAGCCAATAAAATTCTGTGTTAGGTATTGCCTGGTCAGTCAAGTATTACTTATTAATATTTAGTTAGTTTACACTAATTTTACCACTGACCTATCGTGAGGTTTTAGAACACGACAATGGCATCACCTGTAGTTATTGGGTGGGGAAGAACCTACAGTAAATACTACCATCTTATTTCTTTTTTACGGCTTATCAATCTTTCTATTTAAAGCCATAAAATATTTTCAATAGCATGAATTTTTGAGGAAATAATAATGATTACTAACGCATGTTCTACTAATTAATCCATAGCTGGGGGAGAGAAGAGATGAATTCATATTGCCAAGTGTATTTGTGTGTAAGTGAGTATAGCGAACCCGACTGGAACCGAAACTCAGCTCTCCGATTACCAATTCTTATTACACCATCCGCACATCCAAGCTTATAGCGCCTACTTAATTAGTGAAGGCAAAAAATATATAGTTAATGAGATTTCTTGTATGTCCGGAATTTAGGGACACCCTGCAATAACCAGTTGTCTCTCAAAAGACATACGCTCTGTTATTTGAACTTCCGCTTTTATTAATCTTTTCGAAACTGAAAGCGCTCCACATCTATCAGTTGATACCCACCATTTATTCGAGAGATAAGTGCAATAAGCATGAAGCCACAAGTATTGCGAATCTAGTCTGGTTTAAAATCACTTATTCGGAGGAGAATCATATAGTTTTCGAAATTTTTTTAATACCTGGATCTTCTCTTTTCTTCGGCTAGTGTTAATGTTGCCAATTTGAAATAAAAAAAAACAAATACTTTGTTCAAATTTAAATTCAAACGAATCCTAATTTGCATATACATATGAAAACTGAGATAAAATTAATATGACTGCAGGGACCAACCTATGTAATAGACATTTTGGTAATGCGGTCATCTGGGTTAAATTAAAAATTTAATCATGTCAACATTTCGTAGACGAGAAGCTCTTAACTAAAACCCCGTTGGGTTTAATTTACAAACTAATGAAAAAGATATTTTGTTAGCTAAGCAACCAACGCTAAAAACAGAAAAAAAAAATTAAACCTGGTTACTTTGCTGTTCTTGTGCTAACAACTACGAACGAATAATTAATGGTCTGGCTGATTGGCTGGAAGCAACCAACATATGCACTTGTTTCAAATACGCCCATTATATCTTTAATATTTATACTTAGACGAATGTCCTCATCTCTGTTGTTGTTGGTGGCCATCCATTCATAAAAAAATATCTCCTTAATTAAGTTACTGATCGTCTCATCTGCTTTTAATGTCGTGTGAGTGTTAAATTATATGATTTCTTTCCTCGTTATGTGTCGGAGAAATTTCAGGTCCTTCTTTCTAATTGTAAGTATACGTTTTGTTCATCTGTCTATTATTCTGAAGTGAGGCACTGTAACTATTCACACTGTTCGGACTGTTGTCCCCATCTTTATTTCCATATTCACGACGTTTCGGCCATTGCGCACATCGGTCTTCTTCAGCTGATATACGTTGTAATTTCGAACCAAACACTTTATTTAATTCACGCAGGTAGATTGTTCTAGTTTTCTGGATATCTCAGTTTTCAGTTAATTCCCTTTAGTAACTCAACTCTCCAAGTGACCAGGTATTGAACTCACAACTTACTAAAGGGTTCGGTTCGAAATTCCAACTTATATCACCTGAAGAAGACCATAGCGTAGAACAGCCGAAACGTCGTGAATATGACAATAGAGATGATACCCGAAGAATGTAAATAGTGTAATAGTCTTTTCGTTTTTTTGTGTTTTTTTTACAATACTTTTTGTCCTTAAATCTTCCTCGTTACTCTCATGTCCAGGATATTCTCAGAATTCGTCGGTAAAAGAACATTTCTGTCGTTTCAAGCCACTTCTTTGTTCAGAATTCACTACCATACAGGAGATTAAAATGTATTATCGAAAAGTCAGTTTTCATTTTATTACAAACTTTCATGGCTAGTATATGAATTATGATTTAATCGAAGTGCAGATCTTCAAGGGAGTGGACATCAGATCTGTCACAGGGATAGCTAACGAAGTGT